CGTTCTCTGGGTACGCTGTAGCCCCATTTTAGGTATTCCAATAATCAGTCATAGGCAGAAGACAGACTTACAAGTCTTCTAGTGTGGTGTTTCTGACTATTCCTTTCTCTCCCTCTCCAGTGTCTACTCTATATTATAATGCAAGGCCTTCTATCTTCTTTTGATGCTTTCTGCATCATTTAAGATTTTGTCCATAGAATCTTTCAGTACTGCAACCCAAGGCTTGACTTTTTCAATCAAGTCTTTTACCTTGAGAAATGCTGAGCCTATTCTTTCCATTCAGTTTTCTAACTACCAGTCTTTGTACATTTCATTATGATACTTGACTTGTCTTCTTGACTTTCCCTTTGGCGTTTTCTGGTCAACTCTTACTTTCTCATTTCTTCCAGTCATTTTAGCTTCTCTACACTTAAAGAGTAATTTTCAGTATTTTTTGACATGCATTTTGGTCTTTTTTTTTTTTCTTTTCATGTCTTTTTAATAATCTTTTGTTTTCTTCGTATATAATGTTCTTGTTGGCATCCCACAACTTTTCTGGTTTCCAGTCATTAGTGTCTAATATATCAAATCTGTTCTTGAATGATTTCTAAATTCAGGTGGGATATACAAAATCATGTTTTGACTCTTGTGGACTCGTTTTCATTTTCTTTTGTATCAGCCCTTACTGACATATGAGCAATTGATGGTCTGTTCCATAGTCAGCCATTTAACTTGTTTCTGGCTGATGGTATTGAACATCCCCACCATCTGTTCTCACATATGTAGTCAATATGATTCCTATGTATTACATCTGGTGAGGCCCATGTGTTGTTGCATGAAGAGTATTTGCAATTAATAAGTGTTGGTCTTGCAAAATTCTATCATGTGATCGCCAACATCATTTATATCACCAAGGCCATATATTTTCTAACTACTGATGTTCCTCTTTGTTTCCACTTTTCACATTACAATCACCAGTAATTATCAATGTATCTTGGTTGTGTGTTTGATCAATTTTAGATTGAAGAAGTTGGTAAAATTCTTCAATTTAATCAGTATTGGCTTTAGTAGTTGATGTGTTGTTGTTGTTAAGTGCTGTTTAGTCAGTTCCAACTCATAGCAACCCTCTGCATAACAGAATGAAACAGTGCCTGGTTCTGTGCCACCCTCACAATTGTTGTTATACTTGAGTACATTGCTGCTGCCATTGTGCCAATCTATCTCTTTGGGGGTCTTCCACTTTTTCACTGACCCTCCATTTTATCAAATGTTATGCCCTTCTCCAGTAACTGGACCCTCCTGATAATATGTGGAAGTATGAGAGATGAAGTCTTCCCATCCTGGCTTCTAAGGAGCATTCTGGTTGTACTTCTTCTAACACAGATGTGGTTGTTCTTCTGGCAGTCCATGGTACTTTAAAAATTCTTCTTCAACACCATAACTCAAATGTATCAATTTTTCTACAGACTTCCCTATTCATTGTCCAACTTTCACATGTATATGAGGCTATTAAAA